GGAGACGAAGGGTAGCTTGGGAAGACGATGAGCAGATCGCGATAAGTTGGTCAATAGTAATGGGTACATTCCTAGTTATAGCCATCGGGGGTGTAATAATATGGAAGATTAAGAGTAAGAGAAGATTAGCGAACGACAGTCTAGTGAGCATGCAACAACTCGAGAGGGAGATGCCGAGCAGTGTTCCTTACTCAGACAGGACTGGCGAAGAAATTGCTGAAAGACCAATGGAGGAGGCTGGCGTGAGACCACCACGTGCGGCGGGAAAACCTCCCACGGCAGAGAGGAAAACATTGACCAAGAAGAACAGACCCTAGTGAACACATCTGCACCTACAAACACACGCACACATTACCTTGCATGTAAAACAAAAGAAAATGAAAAAGAACATTTCATTGCATGTAGAACAGAAGAAAATGAAAAGAACATTTCATTGCATGTAGAACAAAAAGAAAATGAAAAGAACATTTCATTGCATGTAGAACAAAAAGAAAATGAAAAGAACATTTCATTGCATGTAGAACAAAAAGAAAATGAAAAAGAACATTTCATTGCATGTAGAACAGAAGAAAATGAAAAGAACATTTCATTGCATGTAGAACAAAAAGAAAATGAAAAGAACATTTCATTGCATGTAGAACAAAAGAAAATGAAAAGAACATTTCATAGCATGTAGAACAAAAAGAAAATGGAAAGAACATTACCCTTGCATGTTAGAAAGTAGAATAGAATTGCATGAGACAAATGCATGGTGCATGTTAAATGATGTAATTGGGTTTAGGTGTCATTTACGGGTAAATGACAAATCGGTTAAAGGGAGGATTGTGGCACCTTGCATTATTAGAAATATTCATAGAAATATGATTTAATTTTTTTTACTCGGTTTACTAAACAGGTTGTTGATTTTTTTAAAACGGAAAATAATTGAGTTGAAAATAATTCACTAAGATTGTACTTAGACGATCCTAAGGAAAGAAGAAGAAGGGGAAAGAGAGGAAAAGAGAAAAAAAAAAGAGAGAGGTCGAGAAATAAAAAAGCGGTCATTAACAAAAAACATGAGTCAGAAAGATATCTTAGCTAGCATGTTGACCGAATTTTTAAAGACAATTGGAAGAATAGAATTAGAAATAACAAAAAAGAAAGAAAGGAAAAGACATGATATCAAAACGGGCCGCTTGATGAAAACCAGATATCGGTCAAAGCATCTAGCCTACTTTTGCGTAGTAAGACATCTTATCAATTTGGATAAAGAGAAATTTTGGGAACAATGAAAACGAAATCTTAATCAGAGAAAAGTGTCTTTTGGGTTGAGGGGAGTGACCGGTGGAACGGTATACAGATTCTGACCTGTTAAAAATTAGAACCCCACATTGACGAGTGAAAGATGTTTTCAATTCAGATAAATTAAGATTTTCTGACTGCCGGGTCTGACAAAAACAAGAGGTGAAAAAAAACGATTGTCTCAGATCACAGATGGCGACAATATTCTTTCCTGAAGTCACAACTAATTAGCGGCGGGCTGTGTTGACAAAACCCAGGTGAGAAAAAGCCAAGATTATCATTTTCGTACGTGCGAAAAAGGCCAATTAGATTTTGTTTTTTTTAAAACAAGAACGATGTAACCACGCCCGAACGGAGGAGAAAGGATGCTCGATCAATAACAATTGGTCGGAAACGGTCACGTGATCTGCAGAAAAAAGAAGAGAAAGAAATGCCCGATCAGGAACCATTGGTCGAAAAACGGTCACCTGACATACGAGAGACTAAGAGAGAGATGGGTGCACCTCCCACAAAAGGCACTGTGAGGAAGTAGGGGTGAAAACAATAGCGATAATGAGAAATCAAAAATAATGCGACTTTTGGAATTATCGAAAAACCCTGACGCCGACAGACCCACCCCAGTTTGTTGCGGCGTCAATAAAAGCAGGACCCCAGTCGACAGAAATCAGTTGGAGTGGAGTTGCAGCTGGACCGCGGGCAGGGAAAGAGCCTGAACGCGGGCATCGGGCCCGATTCACTCGCCCCTTTGCGGGCAAAAAGAATCCTCAGACAAGAAATCCTTCCAGCCCAAGTCGAAGACAGAAGAGTTCAGCCCCGGACGGCAGCGAGAAGAGATCACCTCGGACGACAGAGAGTTGCGTCTGAGTTGCGGCAAGAGATCCTTCCAGCCCAAGTCGAAGACAAGAGAACTTCCAGCCCAAGTCGAAGACAGAAGAGTTCAGCCCCGGACGGCAGCGAGAAGAGATCACCTCGGACGACAGAGAGTTGCGGCTGAGTTGCGGCAAGAGATCCTTCCACCCAAGTCGAAGACAAAGAGAACTTCCAGCCCAAGTCGAAGACAAAGAACTTCCAGCCCAAGTCGAAGACAAGAGAGAACTTCCAGCCTAAGTCGACGAAGAAGAAGAAATACAACTCAGTCGAAGAGAAGAACTGCGAATGATCGATAGAAATTAGCCCCAGTGTCGAACCAAACCACACTCCGACATACACAATTCTAAAGAGTAGGCAATTCGAAATCTTTTAGGTTGTGTGATAGAAGCTTGTGCCATAGTCCACAGAGCGGGTTGGGAAATGAGAACAATTTTGTTTTTATGTAACGGACATTAAGATATAAAAGGTTGTTACCCATTTTTTTTTCATCAGCAATCTTTTTGTCTCGTGAGTTTATTTTCTTTTATTTGTGTTTTGCCACCCCGTCGGACTCAACTTGTATCGGCCCCAATCCTGCTGGTCCCGTCTGTCTAAGATCTAAACACAGCGTGGGTAGACAGACCGGAGATCGGTACAGTTGCTTTAGTGACCAGGTATTGAAGCGAGTCGGGAAAGGCGAGGCTGGTGATCATCTGACCAAGGGGTTGGAGCGGCACGCTTGGACCCAGGAGGAGCGATCAGGAGGAGACGACGTCACCGTGGGCCAGGTGTGTAACTGTCACAAGTGGTGCCGTGACCAAAGGATCCGACCCTGGGCCAGGTGTTTAACCCCGTCGTTGCTGAAAATTCATAGAACTAAATAAACAGAATCATTAGGAATTGCTGATTGTTGAACTGTCATTCCACATTAAAGTTGGATATAGGAGAAAACTAGGGCTCTACAGTGGATCTAAATCCATCCATGGACTTGAGGGTCTTTAGCTTTGTTAATGCAGCGGAGGAGTTTAAAAAACTCATTTTCACTGAGAATGAGCTCTCAGACCAAGAAACTTGAACTGCCACAAGGGAAAAGGCTGATATCTGAGGAATAACTGTAATTTTAAGAATAGAACCGACAGCGGCCATCATCCATGAGGGCCCTTTTTACCAGCTGCGGAATCAGCATTGGGCCCGAGCAAGCACCCAAGTGGTCAGGGATAATTTATGCAGGCGTCATCTATGTAGAGGCGCTGAGCGACGAGCGTGTTCGTCACGACGTACTGAAGAAGGACCGCTCAGACTGTGCTTTTGCCAAAGCAGATACCAAGTCAGGAGGCTGGGATGAGCGGAAGAATTTGTGGAATAGGGTTTCATCGGCAGTATGGAGCCTCAATGGAAATGTAGCTGCAACGCTCACATGTTTCAGAAGTTTGATGTTCAAATCATCAACTGCCACATTCTTTGGGGCTAAAATAGCACGGGTTCTCAGTTGTGGTCTGTAAAATCATTCCTCAGATTAGGAAACACTGTAGTCACTAGTTCCTTTAAATCAGATGCCATAGGTCCAAAAGACAAACTGACCCGGCCATCCGGCTCGTCAACCAAAGTGCCATTATCAACATTCAATAGTTGCTTAGAAAAAGTACCAGCTTCCTCATAACCATTGAGCTGCACCCTCAAGTTGGTTGTGAGTCTCGGCTTTTTCACACTGTTCCACAGGTAGGAAGAATTTATACTTGTTAGACATTTTCATGACGGTCGTCTTCGAGTATAGAATCCAGAGGTTGGCAGTGAATATTTCGGAGACAGTCGGAAAGCGTAGTTCAGGTTCGCAGTGGATATCGTAGCAGAGCGTTGTTCTTCCTTCTGGCATGTTCGCCTGACAAGTTGGCTCTGGTCATTCCGGTAGGGTAAACAAAGATGTCCGCCTTTATACACGACGGATACAATGTTCTGCGGCTTCTGATTGGTCAACATTCTATTGGTAGACTATAAAGGGAATTAAGTCATTTTGACTAACTCACTAGTTATATATATATATATATATATATATATATATATATATATATATATATATATACAAAAGCCGTAACAATACTGGCGTTTACCTCGTCAGTTCTTGTCCCTTTCGAAATCACTGGAAGGGTTTGTCTAAAGTCTCTCGCAAGCAAAACTGGTGCACCTCTCATGATCCGTGTGTTGTGTCTAAGATACTAAAGTGTCGTGTCAAGGGCCTCATGGGAACACTTACGACTCACTGTCGCCTCATCCCAGATGATCAATTTGCAACCTCTGAGTATTTTGCATTTTATAGAAACATGACTGATGTTGCAGATTGCCGTCTCTTTCTTGGACAAGTCCAAAAGGATTTTGAAGCGCGAATGAGTTGTGCGGCCACCACTTACCGAGGTTGCAGCTATTCCACTTGACACCACTTCTAGAGCAATGTGTTTTATTTGGCGCTGTTTAGACAGAAGTAGGTTGATGATAAATGTCCTGCCAGTTCCACCTGGAGGCATCGAGGAAGAATAGATCACATCTTTCACCTTCAATATTCGAGATAATCGCATTATAAGCACTCAGTTGATCATCCATCAGTTTGCGTTCGTTATCAGCTCTATACACCATCATTTCCTCGGTATCATAGCTGATCTCCTGCAGGTACTCAGATTGTTTGCTGCCTGCTCAGGTTGAATTAGTAGTATTTTTTCTTGGCCTCCCATAGCTTGCACTCGTGTGTCCAGGTCAACAAATGCCTCCTTGCAATTAGCATCATTGAACGTGATAATTTCTGCTGCGGATTGCCTTTGAATCTTTCGTAGGATATCCTCTGCCATGTTGGTTTTGTGGGTCGTCCAATCTTGAGAGGATCATCCAATCGATATGTAATCAACATGTTGGAAAATACCTGGCGCAATTGAATTAGGTATAAAAATAGATAGATAGATAGAAACAGATTGGCATAGATTTGAACAGGCGTACATAGATAGATAGATAGATAGATAGATAGATAGATAGATAGATAGATTCAAACAGATTGACATAGATTTGAACAGGTGTACATAGATAGATAGATAGATAGATAGATAGATAGATAGAAACAGATTGACATAGATTTGAACAGGCGTACATAGATAGATAGATAGATAGATAGATAGATAGATACAAACAGATTGACATAGATTTGAACAGGCGTACATAGATAGATAGATGATAGATAGATGATAGATAGATAGATAGATAGATAGATTTGAAGTGATAATAGATAGATAGATAGATAGATAGATAGATAGATAGATAGATAGATAGATAATGAACAGTGATAGATAGATAGATAGATAGATAGATAGATAGATAGATAGAAACAGATTGACATAGATTTGAACAGGCGTACATAGATAGATAGATAGATAGATAGATAATGAACAGATAGATAGATAGATAGATAGATAGATAGATAGAAACAGATTGACATAGATTTGAATAGGCGTACATAGATATATAGATAGATAAGATAGATAGATGGACATAGATAGATGAATATAGAAACAGATAGATAGATGATAGATACATAGATAGATAGATAGATAGAAATAGATGGACATAGATTTGAAACATAGATGAATAGATAGATAGATAGATAGATAGATAGATAGATAGATAGATTGAATAGATTTGAACAGTGATAAGATAGATAGATAGATATGATAGATAGATAGATAGATAGATAGATAGAGATAGAAACAGATTGACATAGATTTAGAACAGGCGTACATAGATAGACACATAGATAGATAGATAGATAGATGGATGAACAGTGATAAGTAGATAGATAGATAGATGAAACAGATTGACATAGATTTGAACAGGCGTAGATAGATAGATAGATAGATAGATAGATAGATAGATGAGATAGAGATACAAACAGATTGACATAGATTTGAACAGGCGTACATAGATAGATAGATAGATAATGAACAGTGATAAGTAGATAGATAGATAGATAGATAGAAACAGATTGACATAGATTTGAACAGGCGTACATAGATAGATAAATAGATAGATAGATAGATAGAAACAGATTGACATAGATTTGAATAAGCGTACATAGATAGATAGATAGATAGATAGATAGATAGATAAACAGATTGACATAGATTTGAACAGATTGACATAGATAGATACAGATGAATAGATAGATAGATAGATAGATAGATAGATAGATAGATAGATACAAACAGATTGACATAGATTTGAACAGGCGTACATAGATAGATAGATAGATAGATAATGAACAGTGATACGTAGATAGATAGATAGATAGATAGATAGATAGATAGATAGATAGAAACAGATTGACATAGATTTGAATAGGCGTACATAGATAGATAGATAGATAGATAGATAGATAGATAGATAGATTGACATAGATTTGAATAGGCGTACATAGATAGATAGATAGATAGATAGATAGATAGATAGATAGAAACAGATTGACATAGATTTGAACAGGCGTACATAGATAGATAGATAGATAGATAGATAGATAGATAGATAGATAGATAGATACAAACAGATTGACATAGATTTGAACAGGTGTACATAGATAGATAGATAGATAGATAGATAATGAACAGTGATAAGTAGATAGATAGATAGATAGATAGATAGATAGATAGATAGATAGATAGATACAAACAGATTGACATAGATTTGAACAGGCGTACATAGATAGATAGATAGATAGATAATGAACAGTGGTAAGTAGATAGATAGATAGATAGATAGATAGATAGAAACAGATTGACATAGATTTGAACAGGCGTACATAGATAGATAGATAGATAGATAGATAGATAGATAGATAGATAGATAGATACAAACAGATTGACATAGATTTGAACAGGCGTACATAGATAGATAGATAGATAGATACAAACAGATAGATTTGAACAGGCTTACATAGATAGATAGATAGATAGATAGTTTGAAGCACTTAGCAGATTTTCAGCTATTCCACTTGACATCACTGCTAGTGTGATATATTTCATTTGGTGCAATTTAGCCAGTATTGGGCTGATGATAAATGTCTTGCCAGTTCCACCTGGGGTATCGAGAAAGAATAGATCTCCTCTTTTACCTTCAATGCTCGAGATAATCGCTTTATAAACACCCATTTGTTCTCCCATCAGTTTGCGTTCGTTATCAGCTACATACTCCGTCATTTCCTAAGTGTCATAGCTGATCTTCCACATGTACTCAATTGCGAGATTGTTTACTGCCTGCACAGGTTGAGGTAGCAATTCCTTGGCCTCCATTCGGGTGTCCAGGTCAACTAATGCCTAATTGTAAATGGCATCATTGAACGTGTCAATTTCCGCTGAGGTTTGCCTCTGAATCCTTCGTAGGATGTCCCATGCAATGCTGGTTTTGTGGAGCGTCCAAAGCTTAAGAAGATCCCCCCCAGCCATATGTCATCAACAAAATAGTTAACTTGATGCTCTGCCGACTTCTGCCTCCTCTAGTTTCTGGCCCCAGTGGACATCGTCCTCCAGTAATCCATGTTTGGCTTACGCTTCTCTGTAGGTCGTACAGACTTCTCCATTATATCTTCGTAGCTCAATGAATGATGTAGAACTTGTGGCAGTGTGCTACCACAAACGCAGAAAGAAGAACTCCTGCTGACTGGGATGCACAGTGTACACCAGCCCGATGTCTCGCTTCTGAAGACAGTATTTTCTTCTCGGCCCTCAACTTATGCTCCTTGCTTGCGCCTGCTCCATCTATTGTGTACCCAAATGTAGCAGACGGAAACCTCATCATACAGCAGTATCCAGGCAAACAGGTCACTTTGTCATAATTTGAAGAAAGCTCTCAAGGTGATTTCTGGTGTTTTCTTAACTATGTTTCGCGTAGTATATTCTGTGAAATATACACAATGGCCATTTTCAAGAGGAATTGCTAGATTCATCACTGTTCGATGCCATTCGTGAATCTCAAGCCCAGGATGCGCCACATTGCCTTTTTAGAGGAAATATGTTTGCCCATCTGATAGATTGTATATTGTATATTGGTAGGACTACACATGCAGAGCAAAGGGCTGCTGGGAATTTTTCAAAATTTATTAGCTGAATTCAATTAGAGTCATTTTCTTTTTCTTTCCAACATTTTTGTAAGTAGGTATTCCATACCGTTCATTCCTGGCAGATCTTCTAATATCACAGTGTGGTACACCTACTTACAAAATGGATGAAAAGAAAAAGAAAAGAATTCTAAATGAATTCGGCTGATAAAAAACTTATAGATCATATATATATATATTTCAATATTGAATGGAATGAAAGGTTTTAAAAATATTCTTTATATATTTTTTAAATATATATATAAATATATATATATATATATATATATATATATATATATACAAGGTGTGGTTGGTATTTGACGACAGAATTTATGGATTAGTAAAAATTTGCTGAACGAATGAATATAATTATATTTGATTACAAACAAGTAAACATGAAATTTAGCTAACTGTTATTTAATTTTATTCAATTAAACCACCCTAGCATCAATGACAACCTCTACACGAGGTCGAAATCGGCAGCAAGTTCTGATTAATTGGTCCTTATTTATGTCAGACATTATTCGAACTATTGCAGCTTTAAGAGAGTCTTTGGTGTTATGAGACTGTTTATTAAACTCCTTCTCAACAACGCTACACACATAATAGTCTAGTGGATTCAGATCTGGAGAGTTAGGAGGCCAAATGTTGGGTGTGATGTGGTTGTACAAATGGTCAGCTATCCACTCTTGTGTTCGTAGAGCCTTGTAGGATGGAGCCGAGTCTTGCTGGAATATATAAGGTCTGCCGTTACATATGTTGTCAATCCAGGGCTTGACAACTGTTTGTAGAACCTCAATGTAAGCAGCAGCATTTACTCTAAGACCTTGTGGAAAAAAGTGTGGTGGCATAACATGTCCTTCATTGCTAACAACACCCAATACCATAACCCTTGAAGGAAATTTTGTGCGCATCACTCTTAGCATCTCAGAAGGATCTGAACAAAACCATCTGTCATTTCTTCTCTAAAGTTTTTGATCTTGATCAAATTTTTTCTCATCTGAGGAAAACCAAACCATACGAGCTTCTGAAAAATTTTTAAGCTTGTTTAAAAGCCTTTTGGATCTGTTTAAACGGTTTTCTTTTGTTTGTTTTTTTTTTCAGACATAAATTGAACTCTCTTCATTACGTAGGACTTGTATTGAATGTATTCATGAACACTCCTTCTGATTGTTTTTCAGACACATGCAGCTTTTTGGCAATTGACCTCATTGATTGACCTCGGTTTTCATCAATTGTCTGCTTGACTTCCTGAAAAAATTCGCATGTTCTCACTTTATCAGAAAGTGCAGAATGTCTTTTACGTTTTGATACAGACATTGGAGAACTGACAGCGTCTTCTAACTCTTTTCGTATCTTGTGGACAAACGATCTTGCACATCTGAGGAAACGTGCAATATCCAAATCGCTATGATCAGCCTTTAATGCCACAATCACTGCATGACTTTTCATTTCATTTGTTATCATAGGCTTTGCCATTCTTGATTTCTGAAAAATAAAAGCATTAGAAGTTAGTAGGAAGCAGTATTAATCTTAAATCTGTATGTTCTCAAATACCAGCCTCACCCATATATATATATATATATATTATATATATATATATATATATATATATATATATATAATATCAATTGATAATTAGTAGGGATAATTCCAAGAACATTAATCTAAAGAGAGTTCGATGTAAGTAACAGAACAATATGTGTACAGACTATCCTTAAAAACACATTCGGTTATAGTTTATTTCATGAATATACAAATATGGAAAGAAGAAGACTCTAAATTGGGTACCTCCACTGAGTTGGTATACGTAAGGTCTAAAATTATTTTTTTTAAATCTAAAAGCTTTCTTGAAGGGTTCATTTTAGTTTTAAATGAAAGCTAAGGGATTTAAAATTTACTATTTCCAGTAAGCAAAATACACTGTGATGTATCTCAAACAGAAATTATAGCAATCAGAATCGATTTTTTTTATTCAAATCGATCAAAACGGACATTTTTGACACATTTGTAAACAAAAGTTAATTCGCAGTTTTAAAAATCTTGCAAAAATAAAATATATATTTCTGAAACGTTATTTGAGGAAAATTAGTGAATTTAAAGTTAAAGTAATCTAATTTGAAGCAAATATTATTTACTCATAGCATAAAATGTTGTATAAAAACATTTTTAACTACGGGTTTTTTTTTTTGGTTTTTTTTTTTTGACGTGTTAATCGATTTCTTTACATCGGATTGACAGCCGAACATGTTCATAATTAAGTATGGTGAAGCAGACGTTAAATTTTTTTTCACCCTAAGAGGGGACAACCCCTAAAGCACGTGTTCTTTAAATGCTAAATTTATCTGTTTGTACATCCATAGTTCAGAAATTATGTACGTTATCACACATACAAAAACAAATCGAAATTCCTTTTAAAATATTCATGTTCGCCAGATTGTAATAAGCTTTAAAATATGTTATATACCGTACCTATGAACACTAACGAGTATGCTGATTTGTTAGCGTTTTCTTAGAGGTACCTACAAATGAATTCGGCTGATAAAAAATATATATATATATATATATATATATATATATATATATATATATATATATATTTCAATATTGAATGAAGTGAAAGCTTTAAAAAACGAGTCTTTATCTAATTTTTTTTTAATTTCAGCTTTCCTTTTCGTCGCAATTCGAATTGATATCGTCTAATTAAAGCACTGTAATTAAAAGTAAAACTTAACGGGGAAGGGAACGTGGCTCATACCGATTAAGAACGTTTGGATTTTTAAGAAGGATGTCTATTTCTAGAGCTAGATTTTTTTTAGCCAGGCGATAGAGAGCACGAAAGTTTCCTTCCCTTCAAACAGGTTGTTACACCACAGACAACAAGCACAATCACGATATTCCATTTTTAAGGGTAGGTTGAAATATAAGCTTAGGCAAAGTTTCTATTCGCAAATATGCTCAATGTAAATGCTATTTTACTTTTAAATGACTGAATGGATCGAGTCAATTTTTTTCTGTACTTTATAAATTCGAACCTGGAGAATTTAATTATGCACATGGCGGAATTTGAAACGAAATCATTTTTTGCAATGTAAGCACAGAACGGAGATCGTATTCAAAGAAAGATTATGCTGAATTAATGTGAAATAAAGATTTTATTTAGAAAATAACATGCGACGTTTACCCACTAAATTTCTAAAATGGAACAAAGATCAATATCTGTCTGGAATTTTAAGCTTTATAAGGCTTGTGATTTCGTAACACGCATATCTTAATTTCTTTAAAGTTCCGGAAACCATTTATCTCCCTTGCTTAATCAGTGATAAACAGCGTAGACTGGGAAGTGAGCTGTGATCTGGGATACTAGCTGTGCCATTAAAGATTTTTATAAAAAAAACAAAACAATTAGCCTAGTAACAAAATGGATGTTAGTTTGACGTGTATGCAAAGTTTCGTCAATATTGTTTCACGGGGTTAGGCGGCAACTTGATTCAGACAAACAGAAATTGACATTTATATAGTGATTTTCCAAGGCACAAGGCCGAAATTATGGGCACCCAGTGAGGATCGGA